GAAAGCAAAGAAGAAGAGGACATCCTTACACTCGATGGCGCGACGATCTGACGAAGCAGATTGGGCAGAACTGGTGGAGTATGACAGATGAAGAATACAGACAAGCCATGATACGGCATTCGAATATGAATTGATTCCGTAATAAGACTTATAACTCATCAATGTCAACCTTCATGAAATCAGTCCTTTTCCCCTCAAAATGCTTACAATCAGACAGAGCTTTGATATCGCTGAATTCCACAACTACGCCCGCACCATTACTTCTAATTAGTTTTACATTGCGCAATGTGACACAATGGAAAAGTCTCGAAAATGAATCGTGACAACACTGAAAAATGAAAACAACAGCAGTCATTAACCTTTCGTGTTTTGTGTTGCGACTTCGTCTTCTCGATGCCACCTGATTTCTAGAAAAGCTCTAGATCCAAACCGCCCCCTTGAGAATCAGTGGTCATCAAGGTCTGAACAGTGAAATTCAAAAAACACCCTCCATTGCAAGATCTCAAATTCCGTTCATTCACGCTCGACTTCAATTCCTGGTAGACATCGCCTTCACTGTTTCAAGGCTGACACTGAAGCCAGTGGTGCCATTTCACCATGTCTTAAGTATGTACAAGAGTGGATGGAAGGGGTGCGCAAAAGCTTCTCCGCTCCTTGCATTCTATTCTATCAAGGTATAGTCAACATAAAGACACGGTGAAAATTCTTGTTCGTGCATTGCCAAAGCCATTATTAAAACATTTATTACAATAAACATTGAAGAAATCTGCACTTAACAATAAACAGCATGTGGGATCGCACACTAACCAGCAACGAAAAATGAATGCGATGTTGACCAATTTCGCCTTTCCACATCAACTAATTGTGAGTGATGAAGCCAGTAACGATCACAGCAGCCAAGATTCAACAAAAGATATAAAATTTCAACCTCGCGCCGATGTGACTTGATATGGCACGAGATGCAAGAATGCGGCAAGAATGGTCTTAAGCAATCCTAGGTGTTCATTTGTTTAGCAAGATAGAACATCCTATCGAGAATGAAACATGAACATGAGCCCAGTTAAAAATAACGATACACGTAAAGCTGCAGACATGTACGCACGATTTTGCAACATTTTGTTTTAACTAGCGGAAAATGTGTCGTTCACAAGAATTTAAGTAAGTAAGCGTGACTGCAGTTAAGGGCCAAAGCAGAGGAACGTTAGCTTTACATTTGTTCGCAACTACACAAAGAAATATACTCCAACCAAGAAGTCCATACATGCTCCGAGGAACGAATACGCGCACACCATAAAAATATCAAACTACAGCAAAATGAAAAAAGCAAAAACACTGAACTCAAACTCGAAAATTGTTCAAACGAATTCCGAGATAAAAGCGTCTGGCAACCAGACAAAGAAAAATGTCGTAGTAATGCTGCGAATGGTAAGATTTGCGAAAATGTTGAAATTACAACTTCTCAACAACTAGATATACTACAAGGGAAAATAAGAAAAATATGACTGAGCATAGAAGTTAGGAACGCTATCACATAAGAACTGGTAATATGTGTTATGAAATAGACACATGGCTCGATATAAAAATGCAAAACGTGAACCACGACACAGTTATTCATACTTGAATTATGCTTTGAAAATCGGATCATCGGTAATCAAGGCGTTTGCGAGCAAGCAAGCATTCAGAATATCCCAGATACATTAAAGCAAGCATCCGTTACGACGAAACGATTCGCGGTTGGTAAATTTGAGGCACTGAAAACACTACTCATTTGTAAACATGTTGAATAAAAAAACAAAAATGGTTGCCAATCTTGATTAACGCAACAACCAATGCTCACCGTGACCCTCTTGGAACATTTTCCACCGTTGGGCCAGCATTTCAGCCATGCACATATGGTGACTGTTTGATGGTGCATCGACAGGCGATGATGCCATTCCCTTTGGCAAAATGCACAGTTTTTCCACCGAGATTTAGTACAAAAGCGTTGTCGGGCGCTCCATTGTCCACTAGAAACATCATGAATTAAAAAAAGAACGAGAAAGGCCTTACTAACACTATAACCTAGCTCAGCTTTACCGCTCTATCTGATTTGCAAGTACACTACCCCCAACCCATCACCATCATTAGAATGCTGCTCCATTATAGAACTCTATCGTTTCAATTTAACTGAGAAAGCGAACTAGTGGAAGCCAAGAGAACCCGAAAAGGGCGAAACCTCAGACAAAACGTTTCGGCTGCGCACATACAAGCTATTTTGTCAAAACAATATACGATTCCCGCATTTTGGTAATATCTGAGAATTTGTGGGAAAAATGAGGACACAACACATAGGTGCACACAACAAAGAAGACAATCCCACAAAAAACTTCCATGACATAGGGACTAGAGGCTCACCTTCATTCGAAGACTCTTCATTTTGGGCAGCTTCGGTTTCGTCGTAGAAAAAGGATAACCCATCAGCAGCACCAGAGGCTCCCGCTGGCACATCCGCACATGGTAACACTAAACTTTTTGTTTCATTTTCCTTGAACACCAATGACTGATATTGTAAAGACAACATTTCGAAATAGACAGATTTATGACCAAAAATCGCCTAAAGCTCACCATCAGTACCACTCGCTTCCATTGTAGGCAAAACTGGGGTTGGTGTCTGTGGAGCAGGCGAGCCAGACTTCCCTGATGGTGATGCAACGGCAACACATGCAGGGGAATTGTCACGACCTGGAAACGGAACTTAATTTGAAAGAAGTTTGTATTACTTCTAGTTGGTAGTGAAAAAAGAATACCATGGTGAAAAGAAAAAAACAATTATTTTCTGAAGCATTAGAGAGAAGAGAATTCTAGTGTGTGAGAGTTTGTAGCACTAACAGCAGCAAACATAGTACAGAAATAACAGAATTTACAGTACTGATATTATGTAGTATAGTAAAGCAAGCTAATATCAAATAAACACTGTAGTTCCCATGAAAATATTGAAATCAAATTACTTGGTTCAGATGATTTCTTAGCCGCATCAGCATAAGAGAATGTCCTCTCGGGAGAATCACTGCTGACACCTTGTGAAGCGGACTTCGACATCTGTAAAGTAATTACAATCAATATTGACAGACATGAAGCCAATGGTAATTGTTAGCGCTGTGGGCCGAGAAATGGGAACGGAATGAACTTTAAAAAAAGTCATGCAGACATACTTATTCATAAAAACCAATAGTAGTTTTGATAAGAAAATGCCCATATCTTTGTTATATTTCGCACCCATTTAACGAAATCATGAGAAGCGCTTTTCAGTAGATGGGGCACTACGCAAAGCACACAGGATTCCCAAGAGCGACGAGGATTTATGCTTAAACCAAGAAGTGGAAAGGGCTCAGAGTGGATTACGTCAAATATCAAATCCACGAAATACAAATACCTCCTGTACATACAAAAGTACCAACTGTACAAGGGGATTGGTCCACACCCCTCTCCCTCTTGCCATCCATCGCGTCTAGGTTTGGCCGGTAACGTTTTTATCATTCTGGCGCACAAGATTGTTTTTTTGCGCACCCACACCAATAGCGATCCAGCACAGAAAAATCAAAGGATGGATGGGGTTAAACGCAGCTTGAGACCTAATAGTTCTAAACACTCCATGTGCAGAATTGCTATTACCGATCCCCAGGAACCAACACCAAGATGCCCCACACTACATACATTGTACAATACTTGCATAGCATCTCATAAACTAAAACCAATAACGACAGAAGAGGCGAACACGTTGACGATAGCATTACTCCTATGAGGGAACGTTTTAGAATCAGAATTCTCAGATTCAATCCCAAATCTTCCTTCCCCGGAGAGAATGTATCGGATAACTAAAACAAGAGAAAATCGAGCCGGCTAACAATAGGTGTCAAAGAGTGTAATCTCGAATCATTATAACTTATTCTTTTTCGGAACAAACACTAACAGACAGGTAAGTGAGTGCCGTTGGAGAAATTAATTCGAGATGAACGCTGCGCAATTCATCACAAACGCCTCGTTATGATTTCAATATGATTTCGAAGAGGCGAAATCACAACAAAAAACGTGTTCCGATCTGTTCAACACGTTTGATCTTGTCAGCAAGGATTCGCTCGAAACTCAACCCCAAATCAAATGGTGGGGTAGCAGCGGGCAATCAGGACAGTGTGGATAGCGAATTGAATAAAAATGAAAAAGGTATAGAGACCTCCTATGAACCCTTAAAAGGACCCCTTCTCGTCCATATTTAGATGAAGAAGGGACGTGTCCTAGAGGAGCTCGTATAGCATACATTCCATCAGTGATGATGCGATAAGTCATATCCATTGAACGTGGATCGGACTACCTAGGCATTGTTCATAGTTTTGAACCATCGGAATATTCGAATCTGCGAAAAGAAAAAGATACGTATCGACCAGGTGAATCCGCGCACGCGCGAACGCGGATGCGAAAAGGTTTAGATACGTATCGACGTAGTAAACCACGCCCTATTAGCGTTGCTAGAGGATTTTCGCACCGCCGTTTCGATGCTGCGATCTCCGATTGACTGATCGATAGACACTAATTCCTTTTCAAGAGGATTCGCAGATTCCAATGCGCGATTCGAAGCCCCTCCCATTTTGTGGATCGATACGCACTTCATTCATTTCGCATTTGCGCAGATTCGTTCGGTTCGAGCGTCCTCCTCTCGTGGCGCAAACTATGAACAATGCCTAAACCCGCTACGTCGTAGTCCACGTTGCGCGCGATCTCCACGGCTAGCAATGGGGCGTGTCGACCAAACGGCGGACGAGCCTGACTTGGCGCCTACAACGCCTTATAACGTCTTTCCTAAAGGCTCTCTTTGATCCTATCCTCTTGACTAATTGGAGGTGAACGCATTTTTCAAAGATTAGTAGTAACTATATGGACCCATCTGGGGTTGTTGCTTTAACAGTATGATCGAGCCTAACCAACCAACCATCCACAAAAGCGGACCACGGGATCCTGAAAAGCTGAAACTGAGCTATCGTTACGCTTTTTTTTTTACTTCATTACGCCTGAGAAGGTCCCGGAGACAATTCCCCCATTTCATTGCGGTGATGACCGTTCCGGGTAAACATACCGGATAGATAAAACTGGAAGTATTAGGAACACCGACACTGATCGTTTATATATACAAAGTAATATATTACCTAAAGTTACCTTATCAGACCACTTACAAACTCATGAATATACTCAAAACTTCATCGCAAACCATTATTACTCAAACCTGGTACTGCTTTTCGTTCTCTTCAGGCCTGAGAATATCCCCCATTCACCTCACGATTGGGCTCGTCCATATCTTGCTACATGGGAGATTTAGCGGTCGGATACTGGGATAACAGGATATGTGGCAGAAAAGGTTGGATACGTAGAGATTAGGAGATAAAGACACATTCAGACAAACTAGCGCTTATCTGATCTTTTCGGCGAATATACTGAGCTCCCCTAACAAATCGTAAGCGGCTAGCCTCCAGCTATTCTAATCGATTACGTATCCAATCTCTTTAAGGCGCATCTTAATCTATTACTATCCTAATCCAATCGATAGGCGACTTTTTCTTGTCGCCTAATCTCCTAATCTCCGAAGTCGCCTAGTATGAACGCGGCCATCAAAGAGTTGTTGCGCAAAAAAATCCGGTTGCTCACCATCAGCATTACTCTGCACCGGCATGCGATGATTTATGAGTTTACGAGTATAGATGAAGAAAAGAAACAAAGAAAAGAGAACCTGTGAGGATAGTCTCTAGAGAAGTAATATAATCGGGTCACCTAGAGAACGCGCGCAATATGAGGTGTAACCTGGTGACACAGTTTCCCCTCTCGCCCTTCGTGGGTCCGCAGGCTAAGCATCAGTGGGAACTGCTTGAAAGGCCGCTTCACGTGCAGACAACGTCCAGGATCGCAAAGCTGTTGGTATAACGGATAAGTTATCTGGCATTCAGACGTCCTCCTGCAGTTTAATGGAATCAAAATACGATGCCATTCGAATAAACTAGAAGGCGCAGAGCTATGCAAAAAAGACTAAGCGACGGCGAACCTGCTGTTGTGCAATCACGTAATTGAAATGTGCCTAGCATATGCAAAACTGCCTCCCATTAGCACTATTACCAGCGTCCACTGTTACCCAGTTCATTAACACATTAAGATTTATCAAAATCAAAATAAGGGGTCTTACTGGTTCCGCTCTGACCAACATGAACAATACAAATAGCACTAGTCATTAACTTGAACTAACAATATGAACTAGAACAACTAAGACATAGCATTATCTCTTTACGCTACCACTACAGCATACTTTGCTATCAACTTTTCAACAATGAAATTGGCGCACCATGATCTGAAGATCAATTTGATTACTGCTGATTTCTTGCTTCGCTCAGAACTACTTTGTAATGGAGACCTCAATGTTTGTCCACGATTCACGATTCAATCATTGAGACTGGTTATGAACTTGCATCGAATTCGCTCCCACTATGCAACCATTTCCAACAACTATGTTTACAACTACGTATATTTACAAATATATATTAGTTTGCGGAAGAGCTTCTAGTAACCGAACAGACCATTCATTATTTGACTAGGAATATAGCCGCTAACTAAGATTCTTGACATGGCACGGTTTACCTAAACTTCTTTACGAGTTTGAAAAATGGAAAAATGTGAGATAAACGGTGGACAAATCGGAAAGAGTTCATCAAAATATGAACCCAACGGCAAGCGCAAAGGCGATGAGTCATGACATTCAAGGAAAAGGAGCCGGAGCTGAATGTCGAATGTTCTAGTGAAACGAGTTGACGTGCGTGCTGACGTAATGAAAAGGGGTTCGTCAGTTCCTGAGCGGTTACAACGAGGCGACGATAAGAAAATCATGTCCGAGTGCTGTCAGTCGACTATTGAGGACACAAAAGATGCGGAGGGCGATCAATACCATGACGGACTGTACGAGAGCGCGACGCGCAATCCCGCCCCAATAATCGGTCATCGCACGACCGAATTCCTTGCCAGGCCTCATGAAAACGCCACTCGCCGACACCTAGCACGGTTCAGAGAATGTTCCGATACGTGCTACATATTTATGCGTGTCATGAAATACAGAAAAACAGGGCTATATTTACCAGAGAGCAAGAGGAGTGTAATAATAATAAAAGTATACCTACCCGTTCTATCGGCATATCAGGCAAAGAAACCTCGACGTCGGGCTGTGAGTTGCGCTGAAAGATCAATTTCCAATAACAAAGGATGAAACGAAGACAGACTGTGTATCGGTGAGACTGACCTCATTGCGGTGTGACTTCTTGCTTTTCGGAGCGCTCGAAATGGGGACTGACGATTTAGTTTGCATTTTTGCGCCATCCTAAGAGAGGAATTTCAGCACCGCTTCACATCAAATCGTAAGAGGACAATCACTGAGACGGCCTCAACTACTCGAAGCCAATACGCCGAACGAGTAAATTAGTAATAAAGACTTTGAAAACGTACAATAACCTTGTCATCCAGGAAGTCGGCTAGAGAGGCAGTTGGACGACGAGCAGACGGTAGGGGTGAGTTTGCCGAGGGAGTTGTTCGCGCTTCTGGAGCAACACCCAGTGAACTGCGTCTACCAGGTTCGAGACGTTCTGCATCACGCAGATGACGCTCTTCTTTTCCAGCAGAACTAAATTTGGCCACGATTAAAAAGTGGAAAAGGTACAGCAAGGTAGAAAACAGCTTAAACTCATGACAGCTTAGATATCCCATACCCAGTACGTTGTTGCTGCTTTCCAGTGGACTCGAAAATCTTCTTCTTCTTCGTATTCACCGTAATAAACTCTTGTTCGTCGGGGCACTGACGATCGATCTGTGTGACGTCTTCATCATCAGCTCTGAAGCAAAAGATTAGAAAATTTGACTGGATGGGGATGCACAGATCTTACCGGTAATTGCGTCCGTCGAGAATTACTTCAGATGCTGAGCTAGTGGCGGAAGCAGTAGTGGTCGTTGTAGTCGTCGCCGTTAACGATGCAACTGTAGGGGGCATGGTCTGGAAGTGAAGTTTGAACGTCTTACTATCTTATAACAGAATGGTGACAGCAATAAATGTGGCCTACCACCTCATCTCCCACGGACGAAGCGACTCCTTCATCTGCACTAAGGAACTCCTCCTCGCAATCCTCAGTCGAGCACCGAACGCTTCGCTCAGCACCTTTCGCCGGTCGTTTATCCGATGCAGGCGATGTTACTCGCTTGTTAGCGACAGTGAACTCCCTAAACAGTAGCAAGAATAATCAACGTCAAAAGCTACAGTGAAAATATGATCAAATTTCTAAATAAGGTATCAGAAAACCATGCATTTTCAGAGGCTGTTGAGTGGCAGATGGTGGAGGAGGGGAGGATGTGGTGGTGGCGGCGGCAGGAGGGCCGCCTGTCTTCGTCTGTTGCGCGCCGATGGTGACGACTGGAGGTGCAGACTGTGTGGTGTTCTCTTTGAGTTCCTTCGACTTGCGTCGGCGCTCCTTCTTCGTTTGACTTGTTTCTTCTGAGACGACGTCAACAATGGAAGACTTGTCTTTTTGGCCCTAAACATCAATTATAGATGGTGTGAGATAAGTTTTTGGCAAAAGGGAGAATTTTCGCACTTGTGAAGGAATAAATACGCGAACACCGATCGTAAGCGAACACGAACGTTGAACTAACTCGAAAGGAATGCGACGTGAAAAATCAAAAAGGTATTCACGAGCGTCACAAGAAAGAAGGCGACCGACAACCTAATCGATTACTACGCAAGGGTTCAAACAGTGTCCCCTCCCCTTTTCGGTCAAGTACGCCTGCAGTGACGCTGTTCGGTGAAGGCTGCTGGGAGTGGGGCGGTAGAGATGGAGATGCCGTGCATGACTCACCCACTTTTTGACCGTGAATGGATCTACGCGGAAATCGCGCACGAACGAAGTCAACACGGAATTGACGTCCAAAATGGCGCTGAGTCATTGGGTGAAGTGTACGACTCGCGAGCGTACTCACGAGAGGGTGGCTTGCAAGTGCAAAGGAGATTATCAGTTGAACCTAACATGGGTGAAACGAGGGTTACTGACCTGCTTCTTAACGTTTTGCTCAGAATGGTTGCCTTCGATCAGATGCACTAATTGTTCCACAGACAGTTGGCCCATATGACCTGAAACAGTTCAGAATACAGGAAAAAGCTCCTCTTTATAAAACAAGGGTGAAGAGTAAAACTGAATATCACTTTTCTTGAAAATAACGTATGCTCGCGCTTTGCCACAAAAACGGCGAAAAGATGAAATCCACAACTTCACTTTCGTTCACAATTACAGTATGATAACGGCTATGTTCCGGTTGGTTGGAAGTACGATACGGCAACCAACGCGTTGGAACAGAAGCCAAATTGTGTGACCAATTTCGAGTCTTGAGGAAGCGATAATGCGCGAATTTGACGTGACCAGGAACAGATGACCAACATACTTCAAAGCAACTCTTAGTCGTCGCAAGGATGGTGGAGTTTTACTGACAAAAGTGACGAGAGAATTGGACGCAAGCCAAAGGGATGCGACAGTCAGTTGTGGGCCCGCGTGCGTGAGTGTGTGCGTGTGTGAGTGTGCGTATGCGGGAGAGTGTTAGGCAGCCTAATGCGGAGCACAGCAGTGAGCCCGGAATAGGACGACCGGCGAAGAGAACTCGAGAGTAAGCACGACGAGAGAGCACGAGAAGAAGGAGTCGACGACAGACGCGTTGCGCCCTCCCTCAGCGAGGACAAACGAGAGAGGGCCACCCATTCACATAACTCTCCCTGCTGGTCAGCGCTCGATGCTTGGCCAATAGCCAAACAAATTACGCCTGGACCTCGCCGGAAAAGAGCATCTCAGAATTACTCCCCACGATAGTACGATGTCTTCATGTCGACTTTGCTTCATTTTTTATTAGGGTGTCTGATAAGTAATTTTCACTAGATGGAAACTTTTGATAATGCTCCCTTGTTTTTACATCATGCTGTACACCTTTCGGAAGAGAATTACCTACTCTACAAGTGTGCTTATTTAATTCCCACATGGTTGTGCATAGGCTGAATTTCAGTACAACTGGCAGGTCCGGTCGACGAAAATGAACCAAACCGAGGTTTTATCAAAAGAAACCAATCGATGGCGTACCCTGTCCGTTGGGACTTTTGAATTTTTACGTCCCCCTGCTTCATAAGAGATTTCATACGACCCCTTCTTCACAGCTTCTCAAAAACGACGTCGCGCGTGGGGTATATACAGTAGATATACGAAAGTTGGGTAGGCGTGTCACCGGAAGTGACGTGCACTTGATAGAAGCTATGTGGATAAGCTGCTTCCAACATACATCGCTGGATATCAGCAAAGCATGCTGGCAACAGCTTATCCACGCAACTTCTATCAAGTGCACGTCACTTCCGGTGACACACCTACCCCAACTTTCGGATATCGACTGTAATACCACGAAACCGTAAAAATTCCCTACAACTCCTTTCACTTTTCCCTCATTTTTTCCCTCTACTTTACCTACACTTCCACTGTTACATTTTCTAGGGGGAGGGGGGCAACTTTTCTCTCGCGCGCTCTCACCTCATTACATTGTAATTTGTGGCTATCAAAAGGGGGGGGGGGGGGGGGGGGGAAAAAAAAAAAAAAAAAACAGAAAGTACGACGCCACACACAAACTCAACAAACTACGACGCCCCCGTTGTACTTGTGGCAACGAGGTGTTAACCCTGCGGTCATACACATTGGCCACTAGTCTCCAAAGAGCGTCCAAGATTTCTAAAATTTCCGCTAAGACTGTGTGATTAGTCCCAAATCCTTTCATGGCAAATGCGTTGGAAAACTTGTGAAACGTGTAAAATCATTATGGCTAAGGCCCAAAACTCGAGCTAGTTTATAACATAAATAGAAGCGAAACATGCGCTGCAATGCGCAGAAGAAAGCTTCTAAACGATGTGTGAAATTGTGAAAAATCATGGATCCAAAGGAAAAAATTTAGTTCAAGTGACAGCTTCAGCTTACGATTAGTAATCGATCCGAAAAGCAAATTCGGAGTCAAGAACGACATAGCGGTTCCGAAAATCCAATATGTAATACATAGAGCAGGTTGGGACAAAGCGCGGCGTACACCGTCGATTGATTCTTTGCAATGGAAAATAGAGTGAGCTAATTGTCGGTTTGGCTAATTTTCGTCGCCTGAACCTCCCATTGGATGCCTGAAAGTCAGCCTACGATTCACCACGAATGTACAAAAGCTTTTGCCAAAAATTATTTGCTCAAAGTCAGCGTTTGTTCCACTGATATTTGGAAGCGGTACGCAAACAGCTGATGATCAGTCTTTAGGTTGCCACGTCTTCTACCGGAGCTATGAATCCCAGTTCTCAGCTTTCATGTTTTTCAGAATAGTTGGACTTTCATCTCCGAGTCACGAACACTCACTTGAGTGTGCTTGATCCTGTGCGAAAGCAATAGCCCAAATACTATCAAAGCGCAGTAGAACTGTAGAGTTCGTCACCAAATGACAAAAGGACTCCGAAGCTAAAAATACCGCACAGAACGGTGGACACCATCAGCTACAATCTCCACAAAAAATGTTAAAGTGGTATGAGATATGGCGCGACCTAATCCGACAGAAAGATAGTCAAAAAGCTGGAAAAAGCTATCCCAAGGTGTTGTATTGCCGAGAAAAGCTATTGCTTTGTCAAAATCCCCCACTCCATGCTACATCCATTCGGATAATCTGAGTGGTGCAAGAACTCCAAGCGGTCTTTTGAATCATTACGTTCGGCGCGCCACCGAGAAATGGTCATCTTTGATGAAATATCGCTCAGGGTGAACTCAACTTCCGATGGTCAAAATGATTGACCATTTTGCCTGGGAACTATGGAAGCTGGCGGTAGATGGGGAATTCTTGAATGTTAAAAAAGCAACAAAACCATGGTTTGGACTGCGATTAGCTGGGAAGTCGTGTTCCTTCCACGTTTTGTCGAAGAGGATACTAAACCCACAGCAGAAAATGTGGAAAACGAAAATCGTTCGGTCTACTGGAAGCCTTCACAAAGATAGTCTGACCAAGAAGCTGTTTGACAACGGAAGGATCCCGGGTCTAAATGGCTATTTGTAATGAGACATACATTGCTAAGTGGGTTTTTCAATGCTGAATGCATTCCAAACCGGCGGAAATTCTCCTTGAACGTAGTATAAAGCGCAAAAGGGCAGCGATAGTGGTGTTGGCTCATAGGCAATGAATAGTTCACAGAATCGATTCCTTGAAGAGTCTGCTGTTCTATCGAGGGTGTTTGCTGTTCTTAACACGCAACTATGTTCGAACGCCGAGCTCGAAGCAACAACCCGATCAAGTTGATGGGGTAACAGCGGTCGATAATGAAGTTGTTTCTGCCGAGCTGACTTAAAATTAAAAAAGGAGCGAAGCAAGCTTTAAAAATAAAGAGGGAAGCGTCGGACGAGTTAGTCTGAACTTGCTTGATCGACGGCTTCTCTAACCTGCGCGTATTTAAATTAGCTGCTACGTCGAATTCCAAGTAGTGTGTTATGGCGTGTGCACAAGGTATCTCGTCCATTAGCTCACATTAGCCGTCATAT